GCAGTTACTTGAATTTGCGTATCTTAAATCGACTCCCCCCTGTAGTGTAGATGTACCCTCAGGTTGGAAAGAAATAGTGACACAGAAAGAAGAGGAAATTGAGTAGGAGTGACAAAACAAAAAATAGCCCAATCATTTAAATATCAGGTTCTTTAGATTTATTCACACATGATGGTTACTTTTGAGAATTAGATGTAAAGATGATGGTAATGCTATCTGAAAGTAACAGTAAATGTTTATGATGCAAGATAGTTTATACATTTGTTTTAAACACACATGGACACTGTTTAGGGATTTAGTTGTGACTGTAAGCCACACACTGCAGTGTGGACAATGGGGCATTGTGCTTCAAAGTCCCATTGGGACTTCTGGGGCATTGTGCTTCAAACAGGCACAATACCTTTTGCAACAGAGTATTCACTCCCATTTGCACAGAGCTATGGACTCTCCCCATCTGAGGCCCTAGTCTATAGAAAGCTGTCTATACTCAAGATTTGCTGTAAAATTTCCCACCATATCTGTATCACTGATGTGTGACCCCTCTGGTGCTAACAGTGGGAATGCTAGCGTGGGCTGGCTGCTGGTATTTTTACTACTACATAATCTAGATCTGTTCTGAACAGGGATAGACACTGTGTCAAAAATACAGGGTCTTGTTTTCCAGAGCTGCTATCACTGGTGGAGTTATTCCCGTACTAGAACAATGAAGGGAGAATTTTTAAAAAATCCAATCTAAATCAACCTAGTAATGCTAGGACTACAATTGTGTTCAACTCTTGCACAGGGGAATGTCACTATCAAGATCTTAGTGTTTAGGATCAAAGAACCTGAGCACTGCCTCTAATTTTTCACTTTCAATCAACTCTGGGTGCAATTAATTATGGAAGTATGATCAAACGTAGGCATCTGATTTTATATGAAACCTATAACCTGTATTGTTTGCACCCACTCAGAATCAGATACCGGTTATGAATATGTGTTCAAGCCTGACTAGGTGATTTTCATAAGAATTATGGCCAACCTTTTCAAACCTGAGTAACTGACGCTGCAGTCCTACATCCATAATTACATTCCTAAATAAAATTGGTCGGATTTTCAGAAGTGCTGAACACCTGCAGCTCCAGTTAACTTCAAATCAAAGATATTTTTGCAACTTAATAAGCTATGGCCCTAGTCGATATACTTGAACAGGATCTAACTGTGACAGATGTGGAGCTGCTTTTAGATAATTTATGAATATTGTACGTTAGCCTGATTATTGGGATGTTTGCTGTATGAATCTATTGGGTTAATTTATTAGAGGGCTGTATGGGAATACAGGCAGGAAGGAAAAGAATGGCTTAAGATAGCCACCTTAGTAAACACTTAACAGTGGTTAAGGGACAATGCTAGAACTATTAGCTCTGATGAGTTTGCCTCTGTCTCCTGCTAAGGACTGATTTTGACCTGAAGCCCACAAACACAGGGGGTATCAGGAGAAGCTAGGCCTGCTCATGTCTCCATCAGAGGATGGCAGGATTCTAGCTAATATAGACAATTGTTTAGACTGTTTGTTGCTTCAAAATCCTTTTTCTCAAAAAGCTTTGTTCTTACAACAAAATAAGCAATGCTTTGGTTTTTAAGGAGGCTGTTTGGTCATTATGTACCACGGATCATAGTTCTCAAAAGAAAGAACTGCAGGTGCTTGAATGCAGACAGACCTGCATGGTAAAATTGGTGGATATACAGGGTACTGCAGTCCAGGGCCCTATATAAGGGTATGTCTTCACTACCGACCGGATCGGCAGGCAGAAATCGATCCAGTGGGGATCAATTTATTGCGTCTAGTCTAAACACGATAAATCGATCCCCGAGCGCTCTTCCCTCGACTCCCGTACTCCAGCTCCGCGAGAGGTGCAGGCAGAGTCGACAGGGGAGTGGCAGCAGTCAACCCACTGTAGTGAAGACACCGTGGTAAGTAGATCTAAGTATGTCGACTTCAGCTACGTTATTCACATAGCTGAAGTTGCGTAACTTAGATCGATTTCCCCCCGCCCCCCAGTATAGACCAGGCCTAAGAGTGGGAGATTTGCAAAATTCTGCCAGAAGAGATGTAAAAGCATGAGGCCAAACACATGAGGATGTGTGCTCAGAGAAACCAGGAAGGGGACAGAGATGCAGTTAGCCCTGTTACTGTGACACTAACATACAACACTTGCAGTTGCTTAGTAACATCAGATTTATTAAAGGCCTTTAAGAGACATAATTCAGAGAATGGTTTACATCTACTCCAACAGGCTTTAGATAAGTAAAAGTAAAAATTCCCATAAAAGCCTTTTGACAATAACAATATCATTCAATTGTGATTCACTTGTGTTTATGGTAAGTTTTCTAAATCTTGTACAGTTGATGACATATCAACATGAGATTTTGTTACTGAGTATAACACATTTTATATGAAAGTCAATGTCAGTGTAAACAATACAGTCACTAAAAATAAAGGAAACACACCAAAACACATTAATATACGTTACCATTCTGAAAAACCTAAAAAGCAAATACAATTAGATTGTAACAATTCCCTTATCTTTATCCCTATTGTGCTAACCTACTACAACAAGTATAGTGTTCTATAATACAGAAACATAAGAATTGCCATAATGGATCAGACCCATGGGCCATCCAGTCCAGAATCTTGTCTCTGACAATTACCAGCACCAGATGCTTCAGAAGAAGATGCAAAAAATCCTATAGTAGACAGCTGTGGGTTAATTTGCTCTGCATGAAGGTCTTATTCTAATCTTCACTGGTTAGCGACTGGTTGAAGTACTGAAGCATGAGATTTTTTTGCTTCCAAATTCCTTTTTGCATTAACTATTATAACTCTGATACAATGATCCAAACGTTCTTTGAATCCTAGTAAATTCTTGACTTCATTACATCATGTGGCAATGAGTTCCACAGTCTAATTATATGCTGATTGAAAAAGTATTTCCTTTTATCGGTTTTGAATTTGCTACCTTTCAGTTTTATTGAGTATCCCCTTGTTCTTCTGTTCTGCTTTCTCTATACCATTCATTATCTTTTACATATATATTATCATGTCCCCTCTCTTTTTGCCTCCTTTTTAAAGTTAACAGTTAAAAAAATTTAAAGTCTCTTCCTATGAGAATTTGTCTTTGCACTTAGTCTTCCTTGCCACTGCTCTCTGAACCACCTTTCTTCAGGAAATCTCAGGAGGATAGACACTAAAATTACATTATAGAAGGAATAGCAGTGACCACTACAATCAAGGTTGCATTTCTGTTCCAAACTAAGGTCCTGATTTCAGTTGCTGAGAACTTTTCTGAAATTTTTAATTTTCACATAGAAATTTCATCTCTGCCCAAAGCTGAAATTTTTGGAAAACTTGATTGAGAAGAAATTATTCAGCAAATGTTGAGTTCAAGTAGAATGAAAAAAAACCCTTCCGTCCCTCCATCTTTGAGAAGATGTGCTTTTTAATGTTTTAAGTAATTTTGATTTTACCAAGTTATGACCTTGTGAAACTAACACAGTATGTATGCACAGTACATTGTGTATAATATTTTTTGTCTGTACTGCATATTGCTAAGGATGAGTGAAAGTTTGTGCTGTGTTTACATACATGGCTAACAGCTAATTATTATTTATCATATGTATTGCGGTAGCACTTAGAGGTCCCTGTCCCACTGTGCTAGGCATTGTACAAACATATAACAAAAAGAGGCTTCCTTCCCCAAAGAGTTTCTTGAAAGTTTGAAGGGGCTAGGATTAGCTTATGTGCACTTTGTAAGTTTTGCTGGAGAGAGGCCCACTCTGATGGACCTTAGGAGTTATGCAGCTGGGAAAGGTGCTTTCCACCTTCCTCAGCTGCGTAGCTCCTGAGTCCCAGAGCAGGATTCCCTCCTGTGGGCTTCCTAAGGTGTGTGAAACAATGTTGTCTAGTCAAATCATTCCATATTATTACCACTTTGTTGAAAGACCTGGAAGAGCAAAGCTCCTTTTAAAAATGCTTTTCTTCTTAAAAAATAAAAACTCTACCTTTTCTCGCTGATGTGTAGACATTATGATATGGTGTTAATATACTTTAAAATTTAATATATTTGAATATATTTAAAACTTTATAATGTTTCAGTGTACGATTATTCATATTAGGCACACATGTATAGCATCTTGTAACAGTATATTAATTACACTGGATATTGTTCTTACACAAACAGCAATATATTAATTATAAAATAGAGGAACAGTTAACATTTGCTAGCATATACAGATAATCTACAGTAACAGATATTTTAGCTTTGTCATTAACTTGCTCATGCTCTGAATTGCACCAAAGGAAGATTTTACTGGTGGTTGAAAAGAAAATGTAGAATACACAGGAGAAAACAAAAATCATTAAAATATATACCTTAGGGAGAAAAGAACTTATTACAGAAAAAAGTCTGAGTAGAATTTTTAAAAATGCCTAAGTTATTTAAGAAGCAAAATCCAATGATTTTAAATGGGACATTGGCTCCTAAATAATTTAGGAGAAAAGAAAAGCATTTAGGTGCTTTTGAAAATTTTATTCTATGTCAATAAAGACATACTGACTGTTATGGCACTAAAATTAATGTAAAGTATAACAATTGAAAA